TACATGGTTGAATACAATGAATTGCATCATGCGCAATAGAATTGATTATATGTGAAGCTTATTCGTAAATCAAAATATTTTTTCTCTTTGCTCAAACTAAATATGGCAATTACCTTACTTGTTCAAAAACATGTTCAGTGTGCAATAAAGATCATAAAAAAGAAATATTAAATATAATGTATATGATAACTTATCGTTTCAAATGTTACAAGAATTATTAACATTCAATCCAAATAGTAACAGTGAAAGCAACTTATATATTACGCATCATAGCAATGGAAAAATTGTTAATTCCCAAAATAATATTCTCATCATGTTTTATTATGATAATACATTTTTTTCTGTGTAATAATAAGGTTAATAATAGCTGTAAAACAGTTGCATCCAGCAACAATACCTCGAAACTCGCATCTAAAATTGTTAACCAAATATTGCATAGAATAATAGTAAAATCCAATATTTGTCAAGACATTATAAACTCAATGGCAAATTCAAATATTTCTAAAAAAAAAAAAAAAATGATGTAATGTATCCGTAGGCTCGAAGAGTCATAATTCTAAAAATTGCCTAATGGCTTGATATGTAAGAAAAAAGAAAAAAGCCATCCATAATTATTCTTCAGATGAGAATGAAGAATAAATCTGAATCCAAAGGCTTTAGACTATAATCAAAAATAATATGCGAACGTGCACATTTTTTAATATACACATCATGTTATAGTATTACATGAATTAAAATTACATATGACATAAACTAGATATGTGTATTTTGGATTTATAAAATATATAATACTGTATTGTTATTTTGCGAACTTTGCAAAGGAAGCTTTCAAAAATTTATTCACTTGCTCTCGCAATTAATAAGTGACAAATAAACTAAAGAAAATAAATAAATAACTACGAGAATTAATAAGATTAACTTTATTAATATACGGTAAATAAAATAAGCACAATAACCAAAATATTATTTTATATCGAATATTATGTTATCCAAAATTGTGCACAATTATTATTCATTGAATCATTTCTATATAATTATGTTATGATCACAGGAAATACATAATCTTTTGCAACTCTGATTTTAAGGAACGATCACTACATACGTGTAAATAAGCTCTCCTTCTTATTAAAAAAGCATATAATACTGGGGGAACCAATGAGACAGAACGTGTAGAGTTTGCACATGTATAACATAAGTTATAAGAAAGTATTTGAAGTTCGTCAGGTGTAAATTTATTTTCGTCATATAATACATGATAATGGGTGGGACGACAAACTCCCCCTGAGGCGTGACTTTGTATGTAAAAGTCAAATTCAATGGGATGCCCAATAGTTGATTCTACAACCGTTCCCGGAGGAGGGTTGCCGTTTCTATCGGAATCTCTATCGTCGATGGGAAAAAATCGTGTGTGGTGTCGTTTCCGAATAATAACATACGTAAGTAAAGGGTTATAGTTTGTGTCAAGCGAGGAACATGCATCTATACGTATTTAATAAGAATAATAATGATGCAATGAACTTAATATTCAATACTGTAATAATATTAACCGACTCTAACCGAAATAGTAAATATATTGATGACAAACCTTTGATCGCATTTACTTCCTTCTCAATCACCCGGTGTAATTGGCCTGATATACCATACCTGTAGAATAAAATTCTCGTAGGTCTCTTTCTGCAATTCTGTATACATAAAAATGTAAGAATACGACAAATTTATTCGATTGAATGGCAAAATAATAATTAGAAATACCTGATAGAAAGCCAATATCATATCCTTAACCATGCCACTTAAATCACTAATCATTTCTTCTCGCGGTCTCTGCACTCGTATGGTGGATGCATATCGTGATGCACGGATGTCTAAGGACGCGCAAAGTGCTGCTATCGACGTTTTAGTATTATAAGGTGAGGAATACGTTACAACAGCCCCCATAATGATCGATGGCCTTTCGGTTATGAATGGAACCAAATCTGGTCTTATAAAAGAATTCATTCCACCCAATTTTGCATTAATCTTGAGACATATATTAGCACAACACTGCTTTTTCGCTGAAAATACGTGTTTTCTTAGAACACATTGAGTTGCAACACCAAGGATTGTATCAGATGCTAACTTGATAGCATCATAAATTTGCCTACTATTGTATGGAAGGATACACAGAACCAATTGGGGTTTCTGTTTGGATAATTGTCCAGCGCGAATAAACGCTTTTGTCATAGACTCTTCTATATTTCCTGCTGGATTTTCATGAATTATAGGGGGATCTCTGGTTAGGATATTCATTCCAGCGTCAGAACAAATGTTTACCAGCTCTCGAATAAAACTTTTGATTGCTTGGTGTGGACAATCACGCTCATTCCCAAAAGCGATCACGGACCATGAACTAAGAGTCCCACCAGCAGTAACTTTTTTATTTCGTAAATTCCATAATCCATTTCTAGGTGTGAACATTGCTTCCTTAGAGGACACATGATAGTTAATGACCGGCGTGGGTAATACCCGAGCCGGTGTGACAACCATTTCGTTAGCAACGCTCATTCCAAACTGTTTTGTTTGCTCATTTTCATGATAATTTAGTAAATTTATTCCTTGGTTTATCTTGTTAGCGCGATCACGTGACCGTTTCCATGTAAATTTAGTCATTTCTAATATCTGTTTTTCATTAAGTTTTCGCATGTAACGTTGTCCCTAATAATACATAATTTTCAGTTAAAAATTTGGTAAGAAAATGAATGCAATAATGAAATCAAAAAATACTAACGGGAATTATGTTGCATATCTCGATTGGGAGAAAGGTGTCATTTCGAATTGCTACAAGAGGGAGATTTAGATAATTAAGGCGAACGTTGTATTTCCATAGAAAGTATGTTGCGGCCGTCATTTGTCGACCATCTGTTTCTAATACAATTTGGTTCGCATTCTTCGAGGTAAATTTAAAAATTTTATATTGACGCTTGCGAGCATCAATATTGACACTAATTTTAATATTTTTCAAATAATTATCAAGTTTTGAACGTTGCCCAGAATCAATCGCTACAATATCCTCTGGACTTTTTTTACCAAGAAGTTACGCAATCATCTGAATAAGGGGGCCAGCCTGGTAGAATGATGTACTGCTCAAATCGAAATTTATCATCATTTTACCTACATGAAATTTATAGAAATACATTAAACATTGTGGATTCTTAATATGAATGATGACAGAATATCACCATCGGTAGCGCGAACTGATTGATAGTATCCTTGCCATACTTCGACTCCACCAAATATTGCCTCTGCATTTTCAGATGTGTAAAAAATGCGACCAATGGAAATAAAATTTGGATTCATTGATGATCCATGACGACTAAGGACATCTAATGAGTTTATTGCAGTCATAATGTTTTTACTAAGCTCGGATTTTCTTTGTAAACAGAGATTAAGTTCTTTCATGCTTATTTCTGATACTTTCTCTATTTTAAATTTGAAAGAACTCGGAGGACGTTCAGACGTCGTAAAATCATTTTCAGTTAAAAAAACGTGAAATATCGCCGAATCTCCGAAGGGAAGCTCCTTAGGAGAATATATATTTTTACGACCATCAAATGCTAGTTTAATGTTATCCAAGATATTAGCATTTTCTTCCTCGAATTTCTTAAATATTCTTTGATTTAACCTCAGTGATGTATAGGGGGTTATAGTAGCATGGTAGTGATGAACTTTGTCTTTCGGGAGAGAAGTGGTTTCGAAAGAAATTTGCCCGGACACGAATTGGGCGACCTGATCTACCAATACCAGGGCGTTCAACGAATCCTTTTGAGCTTAAATTCGCTGTCTCCATATACTGTACTTATGCAAAGTAAAATTTATTTGCCGAAAAAAATTTTCTGCATGCAGAAATATACCAAATACCGAAGGTCGCACAATATTCGAATTGGTTAGATTGATCAAAAATAGTGTATGTTTCGCGATAGATCATTTTAAAAAAGTCAAAGAAACTGATAATAAAGAAAGACTATTAAAATTTCAAATATCATAAAAATACTGTATATTAATTGCAAATATCATAAAAATACTGTATATTAATTGCAAATATCATAAAAAAAGAACTAGTTATAAGATACCTAAAAATTTTTCTAACTTTGAATTAAATATTTATAGAAATTCTTTAACAGTAAAAAATATATTTTCTTTAATTTTTATTTATATAATACAATTTTTGTCAAAGATAATTGATTAACATTAAATACAGTATATTATGTTTAGAAATTTAAATAATATTATTTGATTGCAATTTTAGATTTATAATATTGTCTACAATTATTCTTTTATTTATGCAAGTTAAAAAAAAATTATAATATCAAAAAATCAATAAATAATCATATAACAATATCAATCTTTATTTTTTATTAAGTAATTTAGATATAAAAAAACTTTTTTGAAAATAAAACCAATATTTTAAAAATTTTTAAGATAACTTTTTATTTAATCAAACAAATTTATTTTATATTTTATTAATATAAAAAATATAATAAGTATATAATTATATTATTAAAAAATAAATTCTTCAAAATTTTATTATTTACAAATAATTTAATTACATAAAACTAAAAAATGTTATAATCAAATAGATTTCCTTTAAAGAAAGATTATGAATTTAAATAAAATCTTTTAAAGTTTTATTTTTAATTTTTATCTTTAATATATTAATTCAATAATTTATTATTTTTTAAATTAATCTATACTGTAGTAACAAACTATTAAAAATAATTCTAAAAAAAGTTTTTTAAAAAAACTCTTTACTAATCTTTTAACTATACACAAAAAAGATGTTTGCAAGAAGTTTTATACTTACTTGTGAATAAAGTCTTTATATTTTTATTAAAACAACTTAACACTTATCTTCAAGTATTTCTATTACCCTCCCTTATTTATTTATAAACTTCTTTGAATAAAAACTTGAGCCTCCAGTAGCTTAAATAGACTCAAGTATATATCTTTTTACTAAGGGCAAGAAAGTTCTAGAAAATAAAAAAATTAATAAGTGAAATATTATTTTATAGAATTAGAAGTAACAAGAAATATAGATTTTCTTGATAGAGAAAGACATACTATTCACATTCTTATATATTGTCTTGTACTCTCTTATTGTGTCTATTGTTCTTTATAGTTTTCTTGAAAAATTTTACCTACCTTAGTTTGATCCTAAATTTCTAGTAATACAATATCATCTGTAATCTGATTGGCTGATATAAAACATATCAATAATAGAATGTAAATAAGCTTCTATTGATTATACTCACATATTCTGATAAAGTCATTGATAATTAAAAGAGTTATTTGATACCCCAGTTCTATCCACTTTTTTAATTGAATTAACCTACAAATCAAGTTCTATAAGGTTAATAAAATATGAATACAAGTCTTCAAAAGATAAAAAAGTATTATTTATTTAAGTTGTGATCTTTTTTTCCTATCATTCTAATTAGATAAAGTTCAAGATCAAGATCTACTTTTTATTCTAGTCAAATAATAAAACTAAATGGTTTCTAATCCATATTAAGCTTTAATTCTTTGACTATAGTTAATAATAGATTCTTAAAGTATTTAATATATAAAATTTTGCAGATTACTAATGTCCCTTTTTGAGAGACAAAATTCATAGCTTTTGGAAAACAATTGTAGATAGTTTTTTTATAGTTATTATTTTAAAAATTTTAATGTTTCCTAGTGTGGGACATTTGACTTTTGTCCTTACCTCTCCCTTTAAGGACCTATCTTTAACTACAGCTGAGAATATATTTTCTTTAAAGTTCATGAAGGATATTATAATCAATGAGGATCTCTATTACTATTTGAAATTCACCTATTATTATAAGAAAAAAAGATTGTTGTAAAATCTAACCGTTTGATTAATAAAAAATGTATATTAGTAAAATTTTTTTAACTAGGTATAACTATTGAAAGATATCATATTGAAACAATATGGCTCAGTTGCTATTAGATTACATAAGAACCTGAGTTCATTATAAGCCAACCCTTTATCATAAGTAGATAAAAAATTACTGTCCAAATAAGATTGCAATTAAGTGTGTTCTAGAAATAAAGGTACTCACTAGGTGATAAGTCTTCTCAGATAGTATACAAAGAGAAAATCAAAATAAAAAATCAATAAGTTTCTCAGATAATTAGAAAAAGAAAAGATATGTCCTTTAAGTATTTCTTATTAAGAAGTAGGTTTTTAGAAAAAGCTAAAAAATTTTTTTTTAATTTTTATTTTATTATTTTCTTGTTATCTACTTAAACATTTTTAGATATCACCCTTTCCCTTTTTTTAAATTCATCCTTTTATAGTTTCCTATATTTCAGCAGCTTGATTTGATATACAATACTAATAACTTACTAACAATAATATAGTAAACTAGAAGGGTTTTTATCCAAAGACACTATAGAGTGGAATATTGTTTCCAAGACTGAACAAGGCTTTTATGCTTATAATAAACTAGTTATATTAGAATAATTATTTAGCTATAGTACTATATACAGTATATCATACTACTCAATGAAAATATAATTATATTTTCAATTGATTAATAAACTAATAATCTAGATTAGCTACAGGTACTCAAAAAAAAAAACTGTTAAAAATAATTCTAATAAATAAAAATTCAATATAAATTTATTAAATAAGTAAAATATTGATTTTTAAATTTAAATAAAAATAAGCAAAAAAGTTAGTAAATAATAGTTCAAAAAACTCTTTCCTGAAAATTTTCAAAATCGTAAAAATTTCCTTATTAGGCAAAAACACAAAAACCTGTCCCCAACTACAAAGTAGCAACATCGAAATGGCCTCCAATAGGCAAACGAGAAGCTTAGGAAGACAAACAACACCTGAATACAACATTGATAAGATCAGCAAGAATAACGACAGGGTCATGAAGGTCAAAGCGACAACACCAACTTCCCAACTCAGATACACCCCACTTGGAACAAGAACAGCATTATTAAAGAAAATGGTAGATAAAAAAAAGGGCCAAGAAATTACAACTGAACCGACAGAAGAGATGGAGATAGAGGAAAAAGAAGTAACCACAGAAGAGGAAAAGGAACAAAGCGGGCAGTCCACGAAACCATTGGAAGACTCTGCAAACAGCAGAGCAAGCTCTCCCACCACAGTTCATGAGGAATCAGGAGAGAGAGGCAGCCCAAGTCAACTGCAGCAAGGTGAACAGATGAACATAATCAACCAGGCTGGCTTCAGCCATACCAATCAAGAAGAAACAAATAGAAGAGAAAATAACACAGTAGAACCCTAGCAGCAAGAGACACTCATGCCCGAAAAAGCTTACATTAACCCAGAACAGGTACCAGGACAAACTCCCAGGAAAAAAATAGACTTCATCAAGCATAAAATGG